GTTTAAACTGACCTTTTGGGTACATCTGTATCCACAAAGCTCACAGGCAAAAGGCTTATCTCCTGTGTGGACTCTCATGTGATCGTTTAAACTATTTTCATGGCTAAATCTTTTCCGACAGAGCTCACAGGCAAAAGGCTTCTCTCCTGTGTGGACTCTCATGTGTCTGTTTAAACCATGTTTATGGCTAAATCGTTGCCAACAGAGCTCACAGGCAAAAGGCTTCTCTCCTGTGTGGACTTTCATGTGATAGTTTAAACTGACCTTTTGGGTACATCTGTATCCACAAAGCTCACAGGCAAAAGGCTTCTCTCCTGTGTGGACTCTCATGTGTGTGTTTAAACTAGCCTTATGGGTACATCTGTATCCACAGAGCTCACAGGCAAAAGGCTTGTCTCCTGTGTGGACTTTCATGTGATAGTTTAAACTGACCTTTTGGATACATCTGTATCCACAGAGCTCACAGGCAAAAGGCTTCTCTCCTCTGTGGACTCTCATGTGTGTGTTTAAATTATGTTTACGGCTAAATCTTTGCCCACAGAGCTCACAGGCAAAAGGCTTCTGCCCGGTGTGGCCTTTCATATGACGGGTTAAACTGGACGTTTGGCTAAATCTTTTTCCACAGTCCTCACAACTAAATGATTTTGGTTCTTTCTGTACTTTTCTACATGAGCCTCCACGTTGCTTCTCTTTCACACATTTTGTATTAACCGAACACTCTGAAGACTTCACTGCTGAATGACTTGTCACTCTCACATGTTCCTGAAGAGACCACTTGTGGAGGAACCGTATACCACACACAGGGCAGCTAAATGATTTGTTGACGGTCTTAATATCCGACTCTGAACACTTGTTCTCATTACAGCCATGGTCTCCGTTTCCAGTTTCAGGCCCAGAGTCTGAAAGCTCAGAGTCTAGATTCACATCATCTTCATCTTCTCCACTAACTTCAATCTCTGAAGGATCTGATGTCTTTTCATTAGGGTCCAGATCTAGGTTCTTGCTAGTTTCCGCTCCTCCACCAACTTTTGCTGTCATCTGCCCAGCCAAGCTGCTGGTTGGGACACCTCCGTCTTTCATTTGATGGTTGTGGAAACGTAAGAGCAGAGGTTTCTCATCCGTCTCTTCTATCTTCCTTGAAACTGCAGTGAACCAAGCAGAAATATGTAAAAGAAAAATATTCAGTAAAAAGACAAGACAAAAGACCTAGGGGTGTTTTTGCAATCAGTAATATACATAACACATGTTGGGAAACACATTACTATTTATGGTAATGCATTACTTTAACAAATAACTATGAATCTAATGAGTTGCGTTTAAGTCCAGACATCACTATGCGATTGGTAGAAGGAAAAAAAATGCTATCTGCAAATTCTGATTTACGCCTCTTAGATCCGGTCAAACCAGCCGTCCGTCGCTGAAAGAGGTGAGATTGTAAGGCTCACTGCAGAAATAAAAACACTATGACACGACTCTAAATAAAGTAATATTCTCTAGTGCAGAGAGGAGACAACCCATAGAAGCACTGATTTGATCTCATTTCAGAGAAAAGTAGAACAGGTCAGATGCATCTAATGAATAAATTTACTAACATAAACTCAGGAATCTGTTTCTTTGCTTCATTGTTCTGGTGCTGAAAATATCACCAATGCGGATCAAAGGAGATACACAGATGAATGCACCTCTTATTTATTATTTGGAGACTACATTTACTGCAGCTGGCAGAGGCAGAGATTTTTTCTATTGATACGTGGAATTTAAAGAATCATTTTAAACTTTAATAGGGGAAAACTGCAGAAGGGAGCGGTAAAATACAGGGGGTCCCCAGCAAAAACAAGAAACTTTACGAGTCTGATGAAACCCGCTGGTTTTCCATCAGGCAGTCACGGGGCAGCTCCAACGACCCAGTGGCTGTGCTGGGTCAATGCTATCGAGCTCAGTCCAGTGTCGGTACAAGATCTGCTCGGGTGCAAAATCGGCTCGGGGTCCTTCAACTGCCGATGACGTCAAAGTACGGCAAACCCACTCGGACAAAATACACTACACATCTATACTGTTGGAAAGAATTTAGCAGTTTCGTTATTAAAATAATGTTTCTTAAGACGTAAGTTTGTGTTTATAATGGTATTTGTAAAATAAAACACTATATTGTATTCATAATGTTGAACTCCTCTTTGAGCACATCCCTTGAAGGATCATAGGTATTAGCAACACCTGTGAAATTGTATTTGCAGGAAAGAAGTGTGTCCCGTTTATTGAAGTATTTTGTGTTTAGAACTTTTGACGTCTTGTCCATGCGTAGTTCAGTTACGCTCATAGCTGCTAGCCAAAACTCTGGAGTTTAAAGTTTTCTGGCTTTACTAAAATACCTGTCTGTACTTATTTGATTGATAGTAGTTTTACTTTCTATTAGACTCCAAATGTAATCATTTGGCATGTTTCTAATTCATAATTTGTAATAATGTAATCGGTGATATTAGCATTAGCATTCCTATGGGTTTTTCCACGTATATTAGCATTGCACTAACCACTCGCTGCCAAATTGCAGCCTTTGCGATTAGACAATCTCCTTTTGTCACATCGCAATTTAATTGCACATGCAGTTAATCATTCAGCCCTAATATACATGCTGCTCTATGCTAAAAGTGTATTTTCAAAGAGGTAATGATGGATTTCTTTGTAAAAGTTGTCCATCTTTCCAACAGAAACATTTGCCTGGACCAATGTAACGTGATAGCAACGTAACGTGATTACGTAATTCCGTAAGGTTCATGTTCAGCCAATCAACTACTTTAAAGTCATTGGCAGTCGACGGACCCCGAGCCGATTTTGCACCCGAGCAGATCTTGTACCGACACCGGCTCGTCCGTGAACGAGCCGAGGCGACGTCGTGCTCTGCTTAAGAAGTGTTATTTTCCCACTTCAGAAGAAGCATCCAACGTGTCTTTATGCTTTCTCTGAGACATGTCACGTCGCTAAGTTGTTAGCGCCGCGCGCTAACACGTCAATAGTGCAGCATAGCCTGCTGGAGGTTTTAAGGGTTCAGATGAAACACACGACCTCTCAGGCTGCTCACACATCGATCTTAAGTTGTCGCTGTTGCACTCACGCCGTCATACAGTATTAGATGCGGTTAAAGTCAGACAAGAAAAAATACATTTTACAGGCAATGCTTAGCCTGGTGGTGGTGGTGGGTGGGGGGACCTGGCCTAATAAGCACTGGAGGAAACCCTGTCAAGATCGTCAACACTCATTTATCTTAATGCTATTGAAAACATTATATCCACTGCTACGTTTCTAATTTTAAACTCCGTAACTTATGCTGTAACTTCACCTTGCCCTGCCTGCTCCTCCTTGCTGCCGCCGGCTGTGATCACAAGCGACAACATAGTAGTTCCCGCTGCTTCTTCGGGAAACAGCGCCCAAAAAAAAAAGATAAAAAAAAACTTGGGATCTTGTAGGCGTGGCGGGCCGCCAAGACTACGGCTATGTACGGGAAACCCTACAATCTTAACACCATAATTAGACACAACATCCTTTGCATCATATGAGACTGGGTAACTACAGGAGCACCACTTGGTGCAAACATAATCAACTCAGTCTTAGACTCATTAATCTGGAGAAAATTACAACCCATCCACTATTATTAACCTCACGAAGACAACTCAGAGCTAAATCCTTAGCTTTAACAGGAGCATAGACCTGACAGTCATCAGCATAAAGAAGAAAGTCAAGCTCATATTTCCTAAAGATGGCCCCAAGAGGGAGCAAATATGAATTGAAAAGCAGAGGATCAGGTACAGAGCCCTGTGGGACCCCATATTTCAGGGGAGCATCACTTAAGCAGAAGCTACCAATCTTAACGGTCACATACCTGTCAGACAGGTAGGAACTCATCCAGAGGAGTGCTTAACCAGAGACCAAAAAAATTCTCCAGTCGATTGAGAAGTATAACATGATCAAGTGTATCAAAAGCAGCGGTCAGATCTAAGAGTAATAAAACGACTGTCACCCACATCAGTATATTGGTAAATATAATTGAAAATTCTCACAAGAGCAGTTTCAGTACTATGCTTTGCTCTAAAAGCTGATTGAAAACTTCTTAAATTTGTTATTATCTAAATGGTCTGACAATACCTTAAAAACGACTTTCTCAAGAACCTTATGTTAAGTACGTTCACCTACACAGCCACTAGATGGACTCCGCTGCTCCCTCCTCATCTAGTTCCCTTCCCAGCTGTTCTGAATTAGTCATCACCTGGTCAGTGTTAAAAGCGGCTATCTGGCGTCCAGTCAAGGAGAAGGTCCAGAGTAGTGTAGACTCAGTTGAGTTTATACTATTCTCTTCTCCTCGTATCGCTTGTTTGGTAAACCACGTATTGCTCATTCGTTTTCGGCTACACACTCATTAGGATTTTGGATTTAGGATTTAGGAATAGACACTTTGGATTCTCGACTTCGGACCGTCTTTGACTTTGACTTTAGATCTCCCCTGAGCTTTCCTGCTTATCAGGAAAGCTCTTAATATTTATGGTTATTTAACCCCCAACCCTTTCTGCATTGGCGTTTTCTGTTCTTCCCTTTTTCTCTTGTACATGGCTCCTTTTCGTTTTGTATATATATATACACATATATATATATATATATATTTATTACCGTAAATAATCTGTTTTGTAATAAAATTCTTGTTTTTAGCGACACAGCACTTTATTATTTCATCCGCACACCAATTTTATTACTCCCCTATCCTCAACTCTCCTAGAGAGTCGGGGACGTAATAACGTGGGGGCTCATCCAGGATATTCTATTTATTTTCCACTCTTTCCCGAAAATTCAGAAATTCAGAAAATTAATTCTGAATTAATATGAAGTGTGTGTTCCTAAGGTCGTATTAAATCAAATATTCAAAGACCAATAAGATTGATCATTTATAATTAGATGGAATATCACATCTTATTGATCATTCAGTAAAAGTAACCACTTCCATCACGTGACACCATCAGCATGGCTCTACACTTCATCCTGCAGCATCTGGACTCCTGGGTACCTACACCAGGATCCTGCCAGAAGCAGAAACAGCTGGAGTTAGCAGGTCAGATCCATGGTGTGTAAAGTCCACTCATGGAGGGAACAGGAAGGGAAACCACTGAAGAACCAGGATAAACAGACCCGAGGAAACATGGACGGAGACACAGCGCTGCCCCGTGGCCAGGCGGGAATGTGGAAACGGACCTGTGGCTATTCCAAACACAGGCGCCATCTTGTTAGCGGCCAGAAGCAGAGTATGGGTGGGATGAGGCTGGCCCATACTCTGGAACAGCAGCTGCTATGTGTGGACTCTCATGTGATTTGTTTATTTACATTTGTAGTAAACCTTTCTCCACACTCATCATGACTAAATGATTTAGGTTTCTTCTGGACTTTCCTGCACGAGTCTACATGTTGCTTCACTCTAACACATTTCTTATGAACCAAACAGCCTGAAGACCTTATTGCTGGATGACTTGTCTCCCTCACGTGTCTCTGGAGAGACCACTTGTGAAGAACTTGTTGACAGACTTACCATCTGACTCAGAAGACCTGCTCTCATTCCAGTCATCATCTTCATCTCCAGTTTCAGACCCAGAGTCTGACAGCTCAGAGTCCCGATTCACACCATCATCATCACCATCATCACCATCTTCATCATCTTCTCCACTAACTTCAGTCTCTGAAGAATCAGATGTTTGTTCATGAGGGTTCAGATCTGGGTTCCTGCTAGTTCCTGCTCCTCCACCAGTTTCTGCTGCCATCTGGTCAGCTGAGCTGCTGGTTGGAACATCTCTGTCTTCTATTTGCTGCTGATGAAGCTGTGAGACCAGAGGTTTCTCTTCATCATCCTCACTCTTTATAGAAACAGCAGTAACAGGAAACCCGACAGCTTCAGTCTCCTTCTTCAAACAGAGATGCTCTCCCTCCAGACTGGTCCAGAGCTCCTCCTGTTCCTCCTTTATGTGGAGGTGTTCTGGGTCCTGCTGGTCCACACCAGCACTCTGTTCTTCAGGAGCTTCTTCTTTAACCAGCACCAGCTGTGGAACATCTGTAGGAAACACAGACACATGATGTTACAGACCACCATACCTTTATATTTACACCATGAGTGATACTGGCTACATGATGTGGGAAAAAGGAACAAGAACATGAACTTCATTTAGATAAAAACAGATTTCTACTTTAGGAACAATAAAAACTTCCATCACAATCAGCGTGTTTGTTTCTGACCAGAACTTCTAAGCCTCCTACTCACAACCCAAGCTTTAGATCTGAAGCTTATGTGAGGAGAAACGTCTCCAAGATAAAATCAGCAACTATTCAGTCAAAAGGAAAATGAATAAACACTTAGATCAGAATCAGAATCAGAAAAGGTTCATTGCCATTGTCAGTGAACAAGCAGTTCACAAACTAGGAACTTGTTTCGGTACTAATGTGCTACATATAACATGAATAATACATTTCAGAAATAGAATAAGTAGAATAAAATATAATAAAACTAGCATAAAACATTCAGCTATAAAAAAGGCAGGTAATGGTAATATGGCCGGTAACGTGACGTTATGTCAAGTACAGCAGACGAACATGGTTGTGTATTTATAAGCTGTTCACAAGTCTAACGGCAGATGGAAAGAAGCTGTTCTTATGGCGGGAGGTTCTGGTCTGGATGGACCGTAACCTCCTGCCTGAGGGAAGCGGCTCAAAAACTCTGTGTCCCGGGTGAGATGTAGCTGCTGTCAGTAACAATCTTTAACTTTTAAGCTCTCAGCAGGCTAGAGCACTACAAAGCAAAGGAATCTTACTAATTAGCATTTTGGGAGATTTAGTGTTGTTATATGTTGATGTGGCACACCTGTGAGGTGGGATGGACTATCTCAGCAAAGCAGAAGTGCTCACTATCACACATTTAGACTGATTTGTGAACAATGTTTGAGAGAAATGGTAATATTGTGTATCTGGAATGAATTTTAGATCTTTAAGTCCATCTCATGAAAAATCGGAGCAGAAACAATATATATATATATATATATATATATATATATATATATATACATATATTATATATATATATATATATATATATATATATATATATATATATATATACATATATTATATATATATATATATATATATATATATATATATATATATATATATATATATATGTATGTATTGAACAGCATGAAGGTTCTCTAATTTGTGCCAAAGGTCACATTTGCCCAGCTGGGTCAAGCTAGGTCAAACAGTACTTTGAATCCACAGATTAAACCCAAGGAGCCAAGATGTCTGCTCAAGATTATAACATCATCTGCTGTTCCATCCCAGAAGGAGGACACTTCAAGCCATGATGATAATAATTAGATATTAATTAATAAACTCATTGTTTATTACTGTTTAATATAATCATCATAACATGGTCACTTGGTTCATTATAAAGGTATTTTAATTACATGAAATGGTTATTATGCTTTGGGTATAATAATGATTAATTATAATGATTATAAAGATGTGTTCAGCAAAGAAGACCTTCACATTATCCAGCTAACACAGAGTTCAGATAACAATAACTGCATCACATGTTTTTGACGCATGACCAAGCTTTCTTCCGGGGAGAGTGGGAGTGGTCTGACAGTTTGGTAAAACTAACCATCACAGATTTCACGTCGAGTTCTGAACAAGACATCATCCTGAGGAGCCAGGGACGGCCGCCCTGAACCTCTGCCGAGCTGTTCTGTCACGCCGACAAGAATGGCTAAAGAACAAACGAACCGTAGTGGGCGGAGCCTGTTGTTTTCTACTCATTGTATTATTTTTCAGCGTTTTATTGTGATTCCTTTCGTGACCTCGGTCTGGGACACGTGCTGTATGAATAAACTTGGTTCTTCTTCCACCACAGAGAAAGGCTGCTCTTCCAGCATCATGAACTTCCTTATGGTCCGGTTATTAGCTGAGCCTTCTGACGCTCATACAGACGGGTGTTGGTGAGCGTAGCTGCGTCTGACTGGGAGGTGTTGATCTCTGCAGCGATCCCTGGAAACTCACCTCACTCCACCCAGACTTTGTTCTTTACGTCGTATTAAACCAGCTGTAATCAGCTTCCCCAGGAGCTGAAGCTTTTCATTGCAGGACTCAAAGCTTACATCACTCTCGCAGACGGAGTTAAAGTTAGGCGGACATGTTGTTTTACATTGTTGCTGCTGTCCTGCACAGCATGAAGGAAAAGGGGAAGAACCCCAAGTGCTGCACACAGGGTTCACACAGGTGTTGCTGGTATGATCAGAACATCCCAAACTAACACCAACGTAGATACACAATAAACAACTTGTATTAAGTACTGATGAGCTATCTGCAGTGGAACAGGACCAGCTGGCATCCTCACACCAAAAGGAGGAACGGGTGTCTTTTATAAACCAGCCAGGCACTAACTGGTGTGTTTCCATTACCGAAACTTCCCAGTATGACCGTCTCCACTTCACCGGAGCCAGCCGAACCGGTCGTTTTCCAGACCTTTTGAGAGTCTTTGCAGGTTCTGTGGCCTCACCCAGATCACCCGCGGGCAAACCGAGTTCTAACCAGAAGCATCTGTCAGCATTCATTCTGGACAGTTTTACTTATTTTATGCTTCTTTGTGAGAAATGTCCTCATGTCCCCATGTCTGTGGAGGGATCAGACATGGACACTGCTTATTATGGGATAGTAATGGCACTGACTCCTCCTCCAGCTTCGACAAGCCTGTAGTTTCACTTTGGTTCGTTCGGTCTTTTATTTTCTAACTTTGTTGACAACCATGTCGGTCACGTCCAGCATGCGTGCAGCAGAGCAACCAGGAAAACGTGGAACGGACTTCAGCAGACGGAGTCATTGCTAATGAATCAAGTGGAATGGATTTCTGTGAGAACAATCGAAAGAGCAAAAGGTGAACTAAATGTGTGTGTGTGTGTGTGTGTGTGGTCCAAATGCATACTTTTAAAAAGTGGGAGGGGCATTCCCTTCTGACATAATGGTTGCGACATCTATGAACCACCTCCACTCAGTCAGCCAATTCAGTAGTTTGCTCGTAGTTTAACTCTTGATCAGGGATTGAAGCAAAAAATTTTCATCAAACTGAAAATTATTGTGGAGGGGGAGGGGCTCACATTGTTTACACACAGCCACTATTCGGGTTTTGATTGGTTTTAAGGTCAGTATTCTTGTTTCTGACAAATTTGGAATAACCCGTTCACACACACAGTGTTTAAAAGTGTGGGTGTTGAGATTTCTCTGAGGTAAAAAAGATGATAATTATTAAAGCACTCTAGGGGGGTCGGGGGCATGCCTCCACGGAATTATTTTGTGGACATTTTATATTTAAACGCATTAGTCTGAGAGCATGCTCATGCGCTGATGACCCGATCACCGGACACACGGCGGCGTTTTGAAGCAGATGGCAGCTTGTTAATCAACTTCCACAAACAATTAAGACAGATTTCCACCTAATTTACTCACAGACAATGCAAGAAAATTAATAAATCTGGTAAATATAACACTCTGGAGGTAAGTGGAGAAAATTTGCAAATATATATTGACGAGGTTTTTGAGATTTTTGTCATGGGACCGAAGAAAGCAGCAGCAGCTGAGACGGAAACACCTGGGACCAAGAGGAGCCGTCCCCAGGACTCGCCCAAGGCCTCATCTCCTCATAAGGATGTCTTAGATTTACTACAGTCCATAGATAAACGGCTTCTTGGATTTGAGGGAGGACTCCACCTGCTAGAGGTGCTTCACAAAAAGTTCCAGGACCTCCGAACATCTCTGGAGTTTTCCTAGGGAATTGGTTTCCTCCTTGACTGCAAGATTAGATCAGATCTTCCAGGACAACAAAGTACTAAAGGAGACGGTTATGGATCTCCAATCATGCAGCATGAGAAATGACCTGGTGTTCGCAGGCCTTCCAGAGCAGACCGAAGGAGAAGCGAAGGACTGTGAACAAACCATCAAGAACTTTCTCCACACCCACATGAAGATACCTGAGGAAACGGTTAGAAACATCACCTTTCATCGGGTACATCGCCTTGGAGCCAGGAGAACAGACAGCAGAAGACATCGTCCCATCGTGGCTAAATTTCAGCACTTTAAGCAGAAAGATCTTGATAAAAGCCGCGGGAGGGAGCTTAAAGGTAAAGACTACAGCGTTGATGACCAGTTTCCTAAAGAAATTCTGGATCGCCGCCGAGTTCTCTTCCCGCTGCGTAAGAAGTTCATCCAGGATGGGAAGCAAGCTGTGATCTCTGTGGATAAACTGTTTGTTGACGGTAAGATCTACAAAGAACGAGGAGTAACAGACTGGCTTTATTAGACAAACTTCAGGTACAGCTTTATTGTTATTAAAAGCACTCACTGGGTTTGAACATGTCAGGATTTATAGCTGCTAGATCCGTTTAGAAATGTTCACCTGTTCCCTCACCACCTCACACCCACAACACTTTTTCATTTCTTTCTTCTTTTTTCCTTTTCTTAACCTTTATAATTCATTTCTTTCCCTTTTTTTATCTGCTTCTGGGTCTTTACATCTGCATGGCACAATTTTTTTCCCTTTCCACACTGCAGCACACAACTTGCACAAACACACACACTCACACACACCATACGCAGTCACACGGATAAGTAGCCTAAGGCGTTTCATTGCACAACACTGTTGGGCTTGTCTTGTTATTGTTATCATTATTATGATTGTTTTTGTTTTTTATTATTATTTATTTATACTTTATCATTATCAGCATTAATATTTTTATATTAATGTTGTAGGAAAAAATATTATTATTGTTTTTTTTGCTACTATTATTGTTATTATATTTAATGTTGCAAATGATAATAATGATTATAATAATACCCTTATTTACTCTCTATTATTTACTATAAGATTAATGTATGCGTTTAATTACTTATTTTATCTCATACACATGAAGGCGTCCTATTATAGCTACTCACACACACAGCTATGGGTGCAGTAAGGTTTGGCTCATGGAACGTACATGGAGCTGGCTCTAGAGAGAAGAGATAAAAAAT